ATCTAGATGGCAGCTTGCCAGCTTTTAAGATCCCGGTTGGACTGTGATATACTCTTAACTACCCCCTTGAGAGAAGCCCCTGATTTATAAAGCTTCCCCTTGGAAGGTGCTTCTCTTTGCAAGTAGTTCCTTTTATGAGTCTCCCAACTTTACCTGTGTCAGATAAAAGTAAACTGGCTTTTTGGGGGCTGAATGTATTGTCAAGTAGACTAAGAAGAGAAGGTGGCATTTAATTGTTGCTCAGATGTGTCTTGGTGAAACAAAAGACTATATATATTGTATGTTAACAATAGTTTTGTGTGTTTATTTTGCAGAATGGTAGTGATGGTCCGGCTTGGTCCTGGTGGGTCCTGGCAGTGTTGCCATTAGAACAGGAGGCTCAACTGGTTATACTGGCCAAAACCTCACTGAAAGAGCGTCTCCTTGATATTCAACGTGTTCTAGTACAAGTTACATGTCAGCTGAATACTCCCGAAGAGCTGCCTGATAGCAGCAATAGCAGTAATTGATTTTTTTTCTCTGTTAAGTTTTCTGGAAGCCCTTGTAGTTTTGAATAAGAGTTAGTAGCTATCCCATCTCATGTTTGTAAAAATGTCTTATGATTTAGAAAAATGTAGAATTTACTAAACATGGACCCCAACTCAAATCTAGTAGAATCTGACCCTATATCAGTTTATCCTGGAGTTTCAAGCCCTTGGTTTGGAAAACAAGTTAAGAAGAACTCTTCAAAGCAGATGCTTTTGCCTTGCTTTTCACTTGAAAGCACTGGGGCATCACAAAGTTTTCCATGTGGTTTGGGTCTTGCAAGACGGAATTTCTTCCTGTCTTCTCTCAACACCATTCTCCACAAAAGCAAAAACCACTTATACTCTTTTATAAGTTGTATGTCAATTCTTATATGTGAGCCTTTCCTTAAGTCTTTTGAACCATCATGGAAATATTAAACTGTGAGATTTTCATTGTCTTTGAAGATTGGCAATCAATACAGCCAAGCTATTCTTGTTACTTAGCCTAGCCATATTCTATAGAATTCGTTATAATTTTTAAGTAGCTGTTTAAAACGTCCCCATGTGGAGGGGAGGAAATATTGCAAAAATAAATAAATAAATAAAAACAATAAAATAGAAACAAAAAAATTGAAAAATAGAAAACAAAATCATTAGAAAGAAATAATAATAGTTAAAAACATGTGTTCCTTTAGCATTTTCCCCAGTACTTCAATTACCCAGGTAAATAGCACTCTTTAAAATTAAGATGCTGCATAATGAGGGGCGATCTCCCTAGCCCCCAAAAACTAAGTGTGAAAGATGTGAAAAATAATACCAAATTAGAAGAAGTTAAATGTGGTTGATTTGTTTAAAGTATGAGGTTTTCTTATGGCCGTGGGGGAGTATAGGGAGTCACCATCTCCCAGAGAGAGCAGTGGCAGCTCGCGGAAGTGGGGGCGGTGCTTCTTGTTCATACCATCCGTTCCCACATGGGGGCACTGTTGTGTTTCTATGGTTCTCCAGAATGTTATTTTGCAAGCCCTTAGATCTGAGTGGGGTAGGGCAGGCAGTTCACAATTGGATGAGAAAACACAGAACTCTGAATGGTGTGGAATATCATCTCTGAGGCGGTCACCTAACAACAACATTGAATTCTGAACCATAGAATTTGACTCCCAGGAT